ACACACATGTGTGTGTGTGCGTGCACACGCACACACATCCACATCCACGCACACATATACACACATGGGCTTACACCCATACACATACACTCTACAAAACATCATATTTTTGGGGTGAAAAAAGCAAAGACACACACACACACACACACACATACACACGCACACACACACACACACACATCAGTGCAGATGCCGTAACATAGTCCGAAGTGTGCGTCTTTTTCCAAAGATAAAAAATGTATTGTCTAAGAAATGGAAAAAAAAAAACAGCTGGGGATACTCCTGTCCAAAATTGAGTCATCATCACTACTCGGATAACGGTTGTCGTGTCAAAGCTGTCGGACAGTCGGTTGTAGTAGTGACGTCATCGTCGTCCCTGTGTGACGTCACAAACGTGTGCTTCAAGACCTGGGCGGCTGAGTAACGGCCTTGAGGGTCCACGACCAGGAGGCGCCGGATCAAATCCACGGCGGCGTCAGACAAGGACTCACGAGCGTCTGTAGGGATGGAATAGTCGCCGCGGCAGATCTTGGGGAACATGTCTTGGATGCAGTCCCAACAATTGCGGACCGAGGTTTGCGCGTGCTGAGCGCAGTAGCCGACAAAGGGCTGACGGTGGAAGAGCAGTTCGTAAAGGAGAACCCCCAGGCTCCACATGTCGCAGCTCGTGTCGTAGGGCGCTGTACTTCTCCCGGACTTGGGCAACAGCAGCAAACCGGCGACCTCTGGTGCCACGTACTGCGGGCAGCCGACGGCCGACTTGAGGGCAGGCTTGGTTAGGTTGTCCTCTTGGGAGGGGTCAGGTGGAGAAGAAGGGGGTTGGCTCGCTACGCCGAAGTCACACAAGACCAGAGGGGTGAGCTGCCCTGGGGTGCGGCACAGGATGTTATTGGGCTTAAGGTCTCTGTGCGCCACGCCTTCTTTATGGAGTGTGAGGAGAGCTCGGGCCACGGCGCCGGTCACTCGTGAAGCCTGGGACTCGCTCAGATACGCCGGAGTGGACTCCAGCACAGCTCGTAGATCACCTCCTTCCATTTTGTCGAAGATGAGGAAAAACGTGTCCCCTGTCCTGTAGAAATCAACAAAGTTCAGGATGTTTTCACAGTTCTTGTAGCGACGGCAGGTCTCGATCTCACTCAATACTCGACGGAGTCGTTTCTTCTGACAGTTCCTCATAACTTTGACGGCGTATTCTTTGCCCGTTTCCTTGTGTCTGTATGTGGAGACAGAGCCAAAGCTCCCCTGGCCCAGCTCTTCTCCCGTAGGCTCCAACAACGCACAGAAACTGTCGCCGTTCGTTTGTTCTTCACTTTGTCTTGGGGCCGGTTTGTTCGACTCGGTAGGGACTACTCCAGCTCTTGCACAGTCGCCGGCCGTGTTGTTGGTGGTTGTAGTAGGAGGTGTGACGTCACATATAGTAGGGGGGATGACGTCACATGTAGTAGGAGGTGTGACGTAAAACGTAGTAGGAGGTATGATGTCACTTGTAGTAGGAGGGATGACGTCACGTGTAGTAGGAGGGATGACGTCACATGTAGTAGGAGGTAGCATGACGTCACATGTAGTAGGGGGGATGACGTAACACGTAGTAGGAGGCGTGACGTCACATGTAGTAGGAGGGATGACGTCACATGTAGTAGGAGGGATGACGTCACATGTAGTAGGAAGTATGACGTCACACGTAGTAGGAGGTGTGACGTCACATGTAGTAGGAGGCAGCATGACGTCACATGTAGTAGGAGGGATGACGTCACATGTAGTAGAAGGCAGCATGACGTCACACTTAGTAGAAGGGATGACGTCACACGTAGTAGGAGGGATGACGTCACATGTAGTAGGAGGCAGCATGACGTCACATGTAGTAGGGGGGATGACGTCACATGTAGTAGGAGGTGTGACGTCAC